CATGGCAACCAGTTTTTGCTCTTCTTCCTTCACGGCAGAGAGCAAATACGTGTACATGTACATCATACCAGACTGCACCGTGGCTGGGGGGGTTGTCTCGAGATAGCGGTTGACTTTGGATACTAACCGCAATCTTGTAATGGTATGATAATTACTGATTTGGTGAATGTGAACATGATCACTTCAGTGTCTGACAAATAACCCTCAAGATGACTCCCATGGAATTTTTGTTATCTACCTTATACAAATTTTATTGTCTGCTGTGATGGGATCCATGGTGTTTTGTACACCCCAGGGGAGTAAATGGAATCCTCAGCTTGCCTTGGGAGTCCTAATCTGGCCCAAGGGTGCACAAAATTCATGAACCCTATCAAAGCAGGCAATTGTTTTGTTATATCACGGTAATAGCTTAGGAGTCCTAGGGAACATTAGTGAAATATATTTTATTGTTTATAGTAGAACACTGCATTTTACTAAAATTGTCAACAGAAGAAAGTTTTATCTAGTAAATTCAACACTTCAGCAGGAAACTGCCATCATTTCATTTAAAATTGAACTCTCAGAGTAAGCTGGTTAATTCTGTCCCTGGTAATGTTGGTGTCTTCCTTTTTTGGTGCAGATTTCACAAACTATTTGTACAAAATAGGAATTTTTCTTCATGCTGATGCTGGCCTGCTCAAAAGTCACATTTCTGATCTTATGTTTGGAACAGAGTTTCCAAAGAGAGAAACCTCTTCTTTGGAGGCAACCTGTTGTCATCTGGCCGCATTATTACAGTAAAATTAGAGCAACATTTGCACAGCTTAAATTAAAGGAGATGAACAGTGGCAAACGATGTGAAGGACAATGACCATCCTAGCAGAAATAATGCTTCACTGTCCCCTAACTGCACATCTCACAAGGACATTCATCAACTTATGTAGTACCAGTGTAGCTTCTACCTCATAACCGAGGTCACACTCGTAAAGCAGTAGAAAGTGACACTTTCAACAGTGGGAAATCAAGGTACCGGTAATGTGCCAGTACTGTACCTGACTGACCAGTGAACACATGTGCTTGTGGCTTGTCATGTGATCGTGACTCTGGACCGAAGTGCATGTATAGTACAGATGGGTACAGAGATGAAACATTGGCCAAATGGGTCAAATCAAATGGTGACAACTACTCCTACATGTGGTATTCCCCTGCCGGACGCCTGCAGCTCAAACAACTTTCTGGCCATGGATAGACTTTGTTTACGTTAAAGGTCAGCGCTAGGACTAAAGAAATGATCAAGCACAATGTCGCTCTGGCTGGAAACTTTCCCTCTGGCTTGCAACTGAACTTAGGACTATGCAGACCTACATGTACATGTGAGTACTTCCACTTTCCAGGTAATTTCATTTTAAGGACTGATTATTACTCTTGAAGGAATTTAAAGGGAATGAAAAACAATAAAGAAATTCTTAGGGAATACCCTTAAATCTAGGAAAATTCTGAGGAAATTATCAAAATCCACACAAATTTGACAATAATCTCCAAATCTAGTAGCAAATTTCTCTCGACAATAATTCTCAATGATTAGTTGCTTTTATTGGATACTCTACGTATGAGAACTCTCAAGGTTTCACTTCACAATCACTTGAAACCAGACTAGTGGAATAAAACCTGCTGTGCATGTGCTGTGCACACAAATTTATTTGCCGTTCTGAGCAGTGCTGTACGGAGAATATTGAAACGAGGAGCCACTGGCCAGGTGTACACACATTTGCAAAATACACAAGTTACCGCACATGCACAAAATCTGACAAAACACACAGAAATATTATTCTGTCAATTATCTGCAGGACAGACAGGCTCTGGATTTTGTGCTTGTGGAATAAATCAAATATGGCAACCAATTATACGGAAAAAAAAGCTGAAAGGAGAGACAAGGCATGTTTGTTCTCTTATGTTTGAGTATTTTGTACCTGGGACCGGACCAGACCAAGGGAAGCTTTGGTGTCAAGCTTCAAATACGGTACATCTGGGGCTGAAACAAGTTTACTGTACTGGAATTTTGGAGTGCATGGACATTATGAATACGTGAAACTTCTCAGCTCCCCATACATGCTCTATACAGTGTGCAACCACAAACCAGTCGACTCGGGTACCTATCAGTAGTACCTGTGCGTGCTAGAATGTACATGTACCTACACGTAAGCTACATGTACACTGTAGTTAACGTGGGCTTATGCTGTGTACATGTACATACTAAGATGGAGAAAGAACCACGGGATCACAGAGACACAACGCTTGGTGCGCGTACATTAAGAAAACTGGGCAGCGATCGTTCGAGAAATATGACTGACAAGCGACTAACGGGCACAAATCATGGTCGCCATTGGCGACAAGAATTAAACATCTGGATGCACATAATAATTTTTTAGGCACAAATGCGACTGTTTTGGTCGCACCGTACAGCACTGGTTCTGAGTTTACTCTCCACATGCCACATGTACAGTGTACTCCTATGTACATGTACATTCTTCAGAAGAGACAGGATAATGCAATGACCTCTGTCTATCCTCTAAATGAATATAGAAGCATATTAGGCCTTTGGTATTTGATACTTTTGTGATAAGAAAATGGCGGAGGGTATTTGGTTAAAAAAAAGTTTCATTTTGAATGTGGAATAACTGGTGAAGAGAAATACATGTACGCACACACTGTATGCTTGTCATAACATTCACTGATGAGGATGAAATGAAAAGCATTTCAAACAGACAGGTCCAGAAATCTAAGTTTTGATTTTTGGACCTGACGAGGAACAAAATGAAATTATTCAAAACTAGAAGTGCAAATCCAAGGTACATGTACCGGTGATGGCACCACCTGTTCAGATTCACGCGCCCTTTTCTCAAAAAAAATTCTCTTTGTTCATGAATAACCAACAATTAAATCTCTTTAACTGCAGGACTACAATTTCCACTTTCGTGGAGAACTGCCGATGTGTTGAATTTAACCCCTCTCCTCCCTTTTTTGACAAATCCTAAAATTCCCAGCTACTGTGTACCCTCAGGTCTCCCTTCCCCCTTTGTGCCTCATCAGCAGGCCCTGTCTCCCTTGTGATTCCTCTAACACATACATGTACCTCATCCACCGCCCCAGCTGTCAGCCTCAACGTCCCCCCCGTTCCCCCCCCCCGTCCAACGGAGTACTTTTATCTACAATATGCAGATAATTCAATCAGACCACATTCCCTGATTTCTCCCTCTATGCTCACTCAGCGAGCGAGCAGGGCGCAGGGGAAGACGTGACATGACAATACTGCCGGTATTGCAGTTTCGTCAACTTTGTATAAATTATGCAATATATGTGAGCTTCGAAGCATCGACAAGAGAAAAGGAGATGCGATGTCGGGCCGGCTGAATTCTGCAGGGGTGTGAGTGGCCACTTAAAATTAAAGCTGAAAACAGCTGGCAAAACGATGAATTATGTAAAAAGTCTCCATACGTTTGTACACAACAGGTGCACAAAAAAGCTGAAATTCAGGGTCAACATCTACAGTAAACAAAAAAGCTGACTTTTCACACCTCTGATTCCGATCTGATTTCTTCCATGCCATTTGTCATACAGACAACATTACCCTGTCTGACATGTATGTGTATCCGATAAAAATTAGAAAATTTGACTGAGCTGCAAAAATCCTTTGACAAAGGTTTTTTCAATTTTTCGTAATGGCATAGGTTGAAGCTAAGATTAACAGCTGTTGTGAGGAAAGGTCACATGGCTGCCCTAGTTGAAGCACCAGAGTACACCAGTATCATAGGCCTTATAATGCAAGTTGACTAATGAGCGGGCAGATTTTGTGTGCACTGAACCACATGCCTAATGGCATGATTCATTATGACAGGAAATCCCTCTATGCACCTGTAATGTGATATAAGAGTTTTGCCGTCCTTGAACAAAATAGTGGGATGATCCATTTCAACCTCCAGATATTAAAAAGGGCATGCAGTACTGTATATGCCACGCATGTAAGGACGGTGCTGCGCAAAACATTTAGGCCTTCCAGGTACTATTCACGTGAAATACAAGTCAAGACTGCTCAGCACTGGAAGTGAAATGCGACTCCAAATGCCACGAGAAGATCTCGAAGCAAGCAAAACAACTCCTCTGGAAAAAAAAAAAATCTGAATTGACCTGTTGAAAATTTTGAATGAGTACCAGTATGTCCTGGACTTGACACATTTGCAAGGTGTGAACTCAACGGGCCCTATTGTACAGGCTGCGGTTTGTCTCTTCAGAGCACGGAGGAGGGAGACGAGGTAATGTCACAAGCATACACTCACAAAAACTGCGCTAAACATATTGACCTAAAGAGTTTCAAATGGCCTTTCCCGTATTCTTTAAATGACAGCAATGGCCCCTTACATGTATCGGTACGGTGTACATATCATACCATACTCTACTTTCAAAAGTAGTTTGTGGCTGGGCCCATTACACAGTACATGAGAATCATTGAGCAATCCTATCAAGAGACTACAAAATGTCTCCCCTGACATGGATAAACATTGGCTGTTTTTACCCTTTGGGAGGCACTGATAACAGGTGGGATGAAGGTGCTACACAGTACATGTACATCAGGCCATGTGGGTCTACATGCACACATGGGCCTACACAAATTCAGAATTTGACAGAAGAAATCAAGGGCATGTATACAGCCCCCCATCTTTGTACGAACAGGCCAGGGGGCTATACCCTAAGCTTCTCGCATGCCATTCACTGTCATATGAATGCTGAAGTTCTGTGTCAGAGTTGCAGCTGGGGCAATACAAACACTGATGCCCGATACTGGAGGTTGATAGGTCCCCCCCCCACCTTCCACTTCAGCATCCCACTTAGAAATCGATTCTATGCTCTCCCCAGCCACGCCCGTATATTGACGCTCAGTCACGCACACCGATGGTATGACCACACATGTACACTTTAACTGAGCTCCCTACACATGCACAATCACGGTCACATTTTGACCTTACCTCAAACAACTGTTCGTCATTTTCGTCGAAAGGGAAGCCATCTGTCCGGTTCAGAATCTGTGCCACACCTGGAGAGGCAAATGCAAACAATTTTTGTTTCACCAACTGTTGAATAAAGTGCACTCCAAACAGATGTTTCATCTTTCCAGTTGTTTAAAGGGCCCTTGTTTTTTGCAACTGACATGACACCTTTTTTAGTTCTTGGAAAGAAGGAACAACCACTGATGTCATTTAGCTTCTTCCTCTAGGGTCCCTTGAGGTAAAGTTGACCAGCGTGAGTAGAAAAACAGTCTTCCCTTCTGGAAAAAAATTAATTCAATGTACATGTATACCGGTCCAGACGTACAATGTATCAATGGCTGGAGATATTTCTAGATGTGAGAAGCTATTGCATTGATCATTACGACAATTGTGTGTATTATTGCAACTGATTTTGTACATGTACAATGTATATGGCTCATTCATCAACGATCTGACGGTCAAATATTTGCACAGTGAATTATTCAAATTGAATCAGCCCTAACCACAGGTGCAACTGGACCAGTGTTCTTTACTGATCCTGTGCGAGATATGGAGAAAACTGCTCTGTACCGGGTATATCCCTCACTCATGTTGTCTTGAACCTGTACTTCATGTACACATTTCTCTGGGCCTTGTTCTACAGAAACTAATTATTAATTATCAATTGATCAATCCTCCAACAGATGATTTCTTTTGCACGAGAAACAATATTTTCAACACAATATAGTTATAGAACTATGAAAGAGTTCTAGAACTGGTTCCAGCTTGGTTCCCCATATGGTACTGTACATACTGGTACAGTGTGTGCATGATGTTCCAGAGACTTGGTTTATGATGTTTTCATCACAAGCATGGACATACAGGCATACATGTATAAGCTGTACATGTACAATGTACCGTACCGTACAGTATATGTACATGTACATACCCCTACATAATGATGCACCTCTGCAGCCCATTTTATTAAGCTGCACTATCAGGTGTAAAAACCTAAAAGTCTTGAACAATGTATTTTCATTGGCCCAAAACAATCATATGAGTGGGTGATAAATACACATGTCAACCTCAACATTGGACATTACACTGTGATATCACAAACTAGTCTCCACCCCACAGTCCAAGCTTTGACATGGGGACCGCTTGACAGACTATTCACTGGTACCTACCAGTTTGACATACACGTACATACATGATAGTAAACTCTAGTGGGAGTTGCAAACTGCCATTTCAGCACTGCCTTTTTCTGTTCACAGTTGAAGTTTGTTTAATCTTCTGGTTTCCTTAAGTTTAATTAACATGTAGACCTAATTGTCTCCGGAGCTTGAAGACACACGCAGATTTTTACTGAACATGGTTTTTATGACAATAAAGGTACTGCCGTCGATCAAGCAAGACATGTTTGTCTGACAGTGATTAAACCAATATATGCAGCGCAATGAGTCAGTGTGTGTAGTCCCACGTTTCTGCGCAGCACATGCACTGATTGATTCAATTAAATTGGAGACCTTAAGTGAGGAAAATATCAAAAAGAATTCAAGAAGAAGCTGTTAAAAAAATTATTGACTGCTGTGATGGGGGACATAATATTTTAATACCCGAGGGACTCATATTTTGCCCCCAATAACTTCAGGGTTGCTGAGCAAGATCAGTCGATCAGAATAATCACACTATTTGATCAGTTGATCCTCTGTGAAATCTCCGACCTTACTTCCTTTTTTGAATCAACCTTCCACACCCGACAATAAGAACAAGCAGTTGTCCGAACTTGGGTGAAATTATCGATGGACTACTCAGCAAGATCAACCATTGGCACAGACATCAACCTATGGAGCCAAGCAGAGACACTGCAGATTACACCTACCAAAGCGTTGTCAAGCCACCATCAAACCTTTCCAGAACCTTCTGCTATGTACATGTACTGGTACATCTGCGTCTATATGTCTTTCTCTGTTTAGCACTGCAAACTTAAAATGCCATCAGAGATCAAGTTTCGGGCACCACAACTGGGTCCGCACGTCAACAAAGTACATTTCTTTAGCATGTAGGTTGTGTACACTTCTTGCTTCAATAGGACTGGTGGTTAAGCTTTCTCCATCAGCATCCTCTCTTCATGATGCCCCGAGGTAGTCATTTAGTCAGAGTCTCGCACCCGATTTCCGAACGGTCTCCAGTGTCAGGTTAACTGATTCTTACACAAAGAGAAGCTCATTCTGAAAGCCGTTTATTCTTGCGCGCCAACAAAGGCCGCAATCTGGAGTCTGGGCAGGGCTGGGGAAAAGATCGAGAAGAAAGGAGAAAAAAAAAGAAAAAAAGAATCGGGGCAGCGCGGGCATTCGAGAGGAGAACTCGATGCGACAGAATTCATTACCCGTGCCAAAAACGTGTCTCGTGTAACCGGAGGGCAGCCATCGGTCGCCAACCAGCCCTCTCTGTTTCAATCAATGGTGCGAGTGCAACCTGATCAGGTGGGGCTCCGCGGCCAGATATGTGTTGCAGTCTTCCAGCAGCGGTGCTGATATCGCTAAGGTAAAAAAAAAAGCCATACGGTTCGTGAACCAGTGTTCTCTCGTACATGTACATGTACGTCGCATGTCGTCAATGCCCGCACATGTCAAGGGCTCACAGCGCATTCAAAGTACGGTATGTATCAACTATCTGATCTTTTAGTATGCAATTGAATTTCTGATGCAATGGCAGCTCATGAGCACAACAAAATGTGCATGAATGAAACATTCCGGTACTTTAGTCAGTCCTTCTGGGCACAATGTCAAACATCTGCCTCTGATTACATAATATGTACCGGTACTCCGTATATCTGCATACATTTACATGCATGTTATCTACAGCCTCTGCAACTTAAAAATGATCACGTTTACATTTCTAATAAGCCAGTCTGGTACACTCCCCCGGCACATGCCAAAAATGAAGCCTGTCTGAGGTTACTTGTATGTATGCATGTATGCAGGCATGAATATGTATATGTATGCGTTCTTCGTTCTTGAATATCCTTCCTATTTAAAACAGGCTCATTACACTGTAAGCATAAAAGTCAAAGCCAAAAAGTGTTGTGGTCGAGTCCCTTTGAGCCCTTTGGTCTTCAGCCTACATGTATATCAAAAACTATTCAAATGAACTGTGGCACATACGAGCATTCCATTGTCACTGTTCAAACCTGTTACCTGTGTTGGACTTGTGAAAGTGACGAGACATGCAAAGAGATTTTGGAAGGACTAAAAATAGACATACAGAGAAAACTAAAACCGAATTGTACAGAAACAAATCAAGCACAACTTGTGGCTTTGGGCAGCACGTACATGTACATGTAATCTTAATGTTTAGAAATTTGTCGGTCCCCGCTTTTAGTTTTCATACAAAGTAAACACTGTGTCGGCAGACAGCTTTGGTAGCCCTAAGTGTTGAAAGCTGTGCAATTTGGATAATTCATTTGGCGTCTTTGGACATGTACACCGGAATCATTTTTCTAGATTTTAGCTACATGTAGGTCGTAATTCTTCAGCCTACAATAGTTCGGGGAGATGCGTAACAAATTTATCTAATATCTAGGAGCACGAGCTACTGGTATAAATTGATTTCACAAAACATGATGCTCCTTCACTAACTTCTACAAAATTTCAGTAATGTACAAGGGAAAATTACAGCTGTTTATATGAGGACAACTTCCAAAACAGTCCTTCGCCCACCATGTCCAATAGTCTAAGGAACCAGGTGGCAATGTTTAAGCCCTAGCACTGTCCAAACAGCACTTTATTGCACTCAAGAGCAATTCTTTCAGGGAAAGAGAAACCTCAATATTGAGGTTTCATTGAAAAAAAATGAAACCTACCGATAATCTGGTACTTGTTGTCTCGGATGGGCATGCAGAGTATGGAGCGGGTGTGGAATCCGGTGGCCTTGTCCAGCTCCTTGTCGAAGCGGGGGTCGTTCTGGGCGTCGTAGATGTTCAGCGTGTCGCCCGTGGCAGCGACGTGCTCTATGATCCCGTTGGAGAGTTTGACGTCGCCACTGCACACCGTGTTGTTGCTGTGTCCATTGTGCAGGGTGGAAGGGAGGTCAAAGACTTTGGAGAAGGTAATGGTCTGCGCACATACATGTAAGAAGGCAGAAAAAAAAAACAAGCAAATAAAGAGATTGAAACTTAAAAGCTATCCTTAACCAAAACCCCTCCACATGTGAAAAATGGAAATTTGAGAATTCGGGACTGTGGGATTTATGTTGACTGTCCAAAATAGGAAATTAAAAGTTAATTGATTGATGCCCACTGATCATACACACAATAATGTTAGCGTTGCTTCTTAATGTTGTTAATCCTTTCTTTTTGTGTAGGTACAGTACGCACATGTATGTACTTGTACTAAAAAATTCGGAAAATATTTAGTTTTCTTGAATTTCAAACACTGTAAACTTAACTGGATTTTTGTTGATGGTTTAATGTACAGATAACCCTAACCCCCCAACCTCTTTTGTTTCAGAGAGGGGCTAAAATTGTGCGTACCGGTACATGTACCTTTCCTAGTCAACACAGGGTTCATACGACCCAATTACCAGTACATGTCCAGTATATGTACAGTAAATTCGTTCTCAATCCATGCAGGGATGGTAAGGTTGTCACACCCTGAACGAAATTGGCTCAATAATGACAGGGTGGAATGTGCCAGCGCAAAGAACAAATGGTGGTAATGTGCCACTTATTTCCACAGAGTGTCTGCATCAAAAACAAGTACTGTTCCAGCGAGCTGTTTTCAGTGGGATGGATCAAGGGAGTAGCAACCAATGAATAAGGACTTACGCCGTCTTCGCTACAAATTTCCAGATTTTTGGGGTTTTTTTAGAACTGAAGAAAGAAAAGAAGAAAGTTGTCTGTTTGGTGAGAATGGAAGTTGATGTAGGAGAACAGCATCCATGGGTAGAGATAGATCAGAGGCAGCCTCACAAGTCCATAGGGCTGTGCCGGGCGTCAACTACTGATGAAGCGATATCCGGTACATGAAGATTGTGACCCCTTTCAGCGGCCACCGTGTGTAGCTGATGCACATGCTAAGCAGATTGGGAGTGGGGAATGAGGCGGTTGTTCATACGAACCCCCCCTCCGAACCCATCTAAACTTCACGTACATGTACATGTACATGTACGTAACATCAATGAGTCTCATCACACACGCCTGAGAGTTACCTGCCCAAGTGACTTTATGCATATCATATCATGCATACATGTATATCGTTTGCATTAAAATTCTTAGGAAGGTACCGGTGTGACATCATATCATGCACTACAGCCTGGAGAACACAAACTGCACCTACTACTTGGAACATACCGAAAGCCACAACTCTTGCACTTGTATTTTGCAGTATTTTACAAATCCGATCTTACAAATGTCATCTGTGTTTAGCAACAAACAGCCTCCTTGTAAGGAGATCAAAGGTACATGTAAACAGGATCAAACAATTTGAACAACTATTTTTGACGGAATCTCCTCATTTATTGGGCTTGGGCAACAATTGGTTGTCCTCAGTTCAAATTCAGCCGCTCAAAAAGATGCATCTATAGGGTTCCACGGGTCCTGTAGAATACACATAATTCAAAGTGAAAAATGTGCGTATTCATGATGAGGCAAACATAATTGGCCATCAGGAAAAAAAATATGTACCAGTATACCAGTGAATTTATGTACAGTGCATGTACCGGTACCTACAGCAAGTTGGCTGACACATGCGTGGACCCTGGACCTTCTGTAGTAATGACAAACGTGTCACACGTGTCAAGGAGGAAAGTGAAGACACGACTTGTTATTTGCTGTCAGATTTTATCAAATGGTTATGAGGGATTCGGGGGGGGTTGGAGGGAGGAAGAGCAGATGCAAGCACCCTTGAGGTTTCCAGCGGCAATAAGGCTCAAGTGCACGTCCTGTTCACGCACGGTGTGCTAATGTGACTTGAAACCAGGCCAACATTTTAAACCGAATAACAAATAGACTGGGGGAAAAAAACAAAAAACAATGAACAACGGGCCCGGTCCAATTAAGAGCCAGAGAGGGTACGCTATACCGGTACATGTACACTGTAGCTGGTGTTGGCTGGCCCACTCTGGAGTGCATCTCAGGCATGCAGCCCTTGCCTCATTCCATGTACTAGTACACGTCCCCTTCGTCCTTGTCCAGCTTGTTGGCACTAGGCGCGCCATGGCTGAGGTACATGTACGTACTGTAGCTGTTTCCTTACAACTTTTAGCATACAAAGTGCATGTCCTGGTACTCGTGCATGTCCTGGTACATGTACATGTAATAATGTTGTGGTCCTGGCCAAAAGGAGGGTATTCCAAGGAAACAGGTTCAAACAAAATTTCATTCAAGAAGTCTAACACTGAGTTTACCGTGCATCCACATTGTGGATGTTTGAACAACCGAATGAAAACGTTAGCCTGCAGGCCAAACATTTCAAGATCTAGACAAATCTTTCTGAAAGGAATTCAAGCCTTAGTTACAAGACCTTTGAGAGATACCGGTAGTCTGCTGGCATTGAAACATCAGGCCCTCTAACTTTTTACAGGCATGTTTATTCGTACATGTACATGTACAGTTACCCCATGCATTTCAGGAGTCACAGCGCCATGTACATGTACTTGTAGTACTGGAAAGTCCCAATCTAATTGATTCAACACATGTGAAAAAGTTCCAAACATTTAAACCAGTCACATGATTATCCTGATAAGTACCTGCAGAAGCTGAAAATTTTTCATTTTTAAACAGTTTTTTTTGGTTAAAAGTTACCAAGGAGGAGGGTGTTGTATACCATTACTCCTCGCGGTGATGTCAGCGCTTACAATTGGGGGAAATATGGACTGACTCATGCAGCACTCATTGATACATTTGTGACCTTACGACCTGGATGGGTTACAGGACAGTTGAGTGAGTGACAGTGAGTGATGTGCTCACAATAGCACATGTACATGTATCTGCTAAGTTTACGGGTATTTAATGCCAATTGAGAATTTCCCTTGTGCGGTTCACCTTCTTCATAGAAGTTATGTTTTTGCTGAACTGAATCTGATTAACCTTAAAGGTAAAGTCCATCTTTTGTCGTTATTTAAAAAGTATACCGATAATGAACTCGCGCAATTGTTGTTGAAAGACATACGTGTACTTGGTCTAATAGCCATTTAAGATGCATTTTGCATGCAAGACACACACACACATGTATGCGGTAACTACAATCAGTTCGCACATTTGCACATGTATACATGTACATGTACAGGTATGTATGCATTTGACTTAACGTGATAATGCGTCTAAAATGCTGAATTCAAGCCCAATTCAAAACATGGCGAAGCAACTTTTGATATGAAATCTTAGATTTCAGTATTAACTGAGCTGGAACTTCATCAGGTTTGTTCTTGGGAATACATTTGAGTAAATTTTTTTTGCATCAAAGGAGCATTAGGCACAAATGACAAATGACGCACAGCACCTTTAGTGGTCAGACAAAGAGGGGAAAAGACCCTTCTACAATATAAATAGACTCAAGCAAGCGCAGCATACAAAGTGATCACTTGCTACAATACTGACGGTTACAAAAAAGCAAATACCGTTGCAGATCGTTGGACACATTACTAGCTAATGTTCCTTTTATTCATGAAGTGGAAGTCAAATGACAAGATGGATTGCCCGAAAGGACGACTTCACGGATCAAGCGTCCTTGGGAAAGTTCATGACAAGTCCCCCCCCCGGTCCGTCAAAGCAAACGTGCGTGCTCTTGTCGGACGCAGGATTCGAGGTTAGGGCTTAGTAATGATTACAGCCGAAGCGGAGAGAGACAGAGAGAGAAAGAGAGAGGGGAAATGGTTGATGGGGGCCCGGTGGGGATGGGGGCTAAAGAAAATGAGAATGTGCCGGCAAACCATCCATAACAGCTGTTCAATGCTTCCATTAAATCTCATCACGTGTGATCGGATTATTTGTCCCAATGCGTGGTGCCGCTGTACTATGAAAAATGTAAGTTACACTCGATCCACCGGTTTAGGGAAATACATCTAGTCATACATTTCGTTTTGAGGTCAGCTCAAGTTACCAAACTCATAGATGATACAGATATTTCCTTTGGTGGAGGGGGGGGAGATTTTTCCATCGCATACAGAGATTCACTTTGGATCTTTTAAGCCTTGTATAATGTTTTATGTTCATGCAATGGAGGGAATAATTTCATTTAGACCGTGCTGTCGTATTCCATTCCACTTGGCTCTGCCTCCAAACATTCACGACAAGTTGCATTAATAACAGTGCGATGCCCAGATAGTCACAGAAAAGTTGCCATTGACGTTGCAAATTTAGTTTATTGTATCCGTATTGTGCATCAGCAGAAAACATCTGTTTAACATAGACACAGTAAAAAATATTGAGCTAGTAGAGTTCTAACCTCATTTGCGTTCGTGGTGCAGCAAGTCAAGTGAACAATGAGGGGCGATGGTAGTGACTTGCAGGAAAGCAAGCGTACAAGTAACAGTTAAAAGCAGTTCCTTCCAGGCAAATACTTGGTGGATTGCTCTACATGTAGCATGGGAAAGTTATCTTGTTTATCACGACAAAGTTTTTTTTGGGGGGGGCGAGTTGTAAGATCAGACATTCTTTCGATCTCGGCACTTCAGATGAAAAAAAAACCAACTGAGCTTGCTTTGAATGACGTGCAACATCATTAGTTTACATGCACAAAAGTCACACATCTTGTCCTTGTACTGTATTTAGTTGCTGTTTGCCTGTGGTCCCCGCGTCTGCCTATTTCTTTTCTTTTGTAATCTTTGTTCAGCCTTGTAATTTTGTTTTCCTTCTTTTGCTTTAATTAATGTACCTTGTTCAACTCTGTCATTTTGCTTTGGGTGAATAAATAATAAGAAGCATAACAATAATATCAGATACACTGCAGGTGTACTTGTACCAAAACCTGTCAAACACCTGTGAAATGAACTGGCAGAATTAAATAAACAAACAAAGGTTGGTCAAGTCAACAACCCCTCAATCTTTTGTTCAGAGCATTTGTTACCACTTTGCTGTAGCAGATGCTGCTGTGAAGCATCTCTAGGCATCTGAAAC